TAATCTTTAAGGATATACATATGTGTCATATGTTAAAACAGCATATTGACAAAAGCATGAAAATTTCGTAGATTGTTCTACTATCTCTGCTGAGTATCTGTGCAAAATCTGAGTATGATGCTCTTAACGGAAATTAATGGAGGATTATAATTGACAAAGAAAAATCATTGTCACTGAAATAAAAATTTTCACATATATTAAGGAAATTCTAATAAATATTTGTGCAAAACTTAATTTAGATCCACTTACTCATTTAAAAGTTATTTATTAAAAGTTGTAGAAAAATACTTATTATAACCCGAAATCTTTCGGTAAATTATTCGGTTTTTTTTCTTGCAGTTGATTTTAGAAGGTATTTACGATCAAAAGTTTTTGTCATAAATTTGGAAAAATATTAATTACAATTATTTTCTTTTACGAAAACGTTAAAAACCATAGTATTTTGTGATACTTTAATTCTTTTCATAATGCGGGTTTATTTATTTGATTTTTCAAAAAGTATAAACGTAAGAAATATGTTTCCTTTTTTTAATTTTGACAGCTTTTTGCTATTATGGTACAGCCAAAACATCCTTAAATTCGCTTATCGCGTTTGTACGGTTGTAAAAAGATGAAATATTTTGCTGAATTATACATGATAATTATATACATAATGATGCTCTCCAAGTATGTTAAATTTAACGTATTTGTATCGATTCTCTTTCTGTTACGATTCGATAAAGATAATAACAAATAAAAAGACAAAATGATGTAAGATGGGCAAGTATTAATGGATAACGCATTATCGGTGCAAAGTTCGTTTATCGGAGAGGATCATTGGACAATATTTACTAGTAAATGTAGATAATATTTATTAGTAAAATATCAGGAGACTGATGACGAGGACTGATGATGGTTATGTAAAATGTGAAATATAGCGAGAGGTAGTGGTATACGGGGTGTTTTAAATCAACTTTGAAAATATTCTAGACAGAGATATTTGACAAACATGAAAAAGAAGATTTATCGATCAATTATTTTCTTTTAATAAAAATATCGTTGTCACAATATTGAACCGCATTTTGTTCAGAATAATTTTTTGCGTCAAGATCTACTTATCCTCGTAACTGTTACGTATGATGCGAATTAGAGACTTGCCAAATAACGCAAAACACAAGATAACCTTGCGGATGAGGAAGAATGTCATCATGTGTACACGTGACACAAAGCATCGATCGCACCATACATGATAAACTACATGAGTCTTTAATTCTTTTTAATTCCTCAAAAGTTGTCATGTCGTTATGCTCGCACAAAGTATGCGCGGTCGATGGTGTATGTTAGAATCTAGAGCGGATAAATGTCGGAGATGAATAATAATGAGTCACGCGAGAGAAAGAAAGAGAGAGAGCCGAGAGAAAGAGCGGAAAGAGGAAGAGAACCAAAGGCAAGACGAGAATGAGGAGGATCGGATTTCTGGCTGCCGGTGTTCTCGATAACATTTAAAGCTGTGGCTCTTCCTACTATTTGTATTTAATTTCATATATTTCTGAGAAATATGTGTCATGTCTAATTAGATTTATCGCACAAAGTATGCGCGGTCGATGGTGTATGTTAGAATCTAGAGCGGATAAATGTCGGAGATGAATAATGAGTCACGCGAGAGAAAGAAAGAGAGAGAGAGCCGAGAGAAAGAGCGGAAAGAGGAAGAGAACCAAAGGCAAGACGAGAATGAGGAGGATCGGATTTCTGGCTGCCGGTGTTCTCGATAACATTTAAAGCTGTGGCTCTTCCTACTATTTGTATTTAATTTCATATATTTCTGAGAAATATGTGTCATGTCTAATTAGATTTATCGCACAAAATATACTTTATTTGTCCACCTACCACTTCCATTTATCAAAAATTAAATTTTCTATGAATCAAAATAACGTGAAACATAAAAAAGCACATGAGGTGGAATAAAAAAATTATAAAAATCATTAGTTTTTGTAACTTGATTGATTTAGAGAAGGAGAGAGAAAGAGAGCAAGATTTTTAATTAAAGAATATATTTAACGAAATATTTAGAATTAAAAATTATAAAATAAAATTATTAGTGAAATATATTTAAGATCCAAAATAAATGTGGTATTTTTTCGCAATCGATTGTAAGAAAATCGTGTGGCAAAATAAAAATTTTTTGTTAGAATTCTTCTATTTAATCTGAAGAGGAATAGTTAATCTTCTACTCGAAGTGTGTATAAAAGATATTTTTCATGCATAAATTACAACGGGAGACGCGAGACGTTTTAGGACCACCGCTATATTTAATGTCGCGCTCTGGCGAGGGTTAATTTTCTCTTTGAGAGATGCAGAGGTGAGGTTTTCTACGTATAACATTATGGTGCGAGAGTATCCGAAACCCGAGGAGGCAGAATGCCGGCATAGGTTTATATTTATACAAACCGCTCTCCAGCTCTTATAATAGCGAGCCGGCCTCGCATTTGCGGCGAGATGCATTCATATACCTTGTCTTAGGTCAAGCGCTTATGTCTCGGGGAACTGAACCGGCTACTTCCTTATAAAATTTCTGCGTGTACAGAAATCGTCGCTCAAGAATAGCGATGCGGAAATCCGATTTTCTCAATACAAAAACATTTAATATCGATTGCGAGCAAAATCAGGGTGTCTATCCAAAGCTTGTAAAAAAATTCCCTGAGAATTCCCTGATTTTTCAGGTAATTCGTTCAAAATTCCAGGTAAAATTAGAGAATTTTTAGATGGAATTTTTTAAAATAAGCTTTTTTGTGTGCGTTTTCTAATGCTTTTCACTCATGTAAAGGAAAAATAAACCATACTTAAATTTCAAATATTAAATTAAAAAATGTATTGAAAAGAACTGAATGACTTTTGTAAGATAAGCATTTTTCATTTGCATATTTTTATTTTCTATCATTAATTGTAAGAATTACAATAAAAAATGTGTACTCAGTATTGTGTATTCAATATTTTTTGCTATGGCAATGAACATATGATCAAAGAGAAAGATATATATTTATAATATATTTGAAACATATAATTCACAATCATTGGCCAATCAGATTGCCGATGCTTGCAATATAAAAACAAAATGATCAAAGAGAGAATTTTTGAAAAAATTTCCTGAGTTCGAGTAAATTTCCATGAGAATTACTTGATTTTTCAAGGTAAAAACGAAATCCCTGAGAATTCCAGGTTTTCTAGGTTTTTCCAGGGAGTCGACACCCTGAAAATCAAAAATTGATATTCGAAAATTCTGCAAATTAATTAAATTATTACTGATGTATTTGATGTATTTTTTTATTATTATTTTACGTACTATTTCTAATATTTATTGTTCAAGTGATACATTTTTTACAGATTATAATAAATTTTCCAAAATTCCACCGTTAAGATCAATGCATTTTTTAATTGTGTGAACATGGCGTGTTGCTCGTCTGAGTACATCGTGACGTTCCTTTATGCGGGCACTAGCATCCATTATTTGAGCGAGCAGTTCGTCTCGTGTATTCACTTTTCTTCTGTACACTTCAACCTTCATCCAACCCCATAAACAAGTGAATTATACAGAAGAAAAGTGAATACACGAGACGAACTGCTCGCTCAAATAATGAATGCTAGTGCTCGCATAAAGGAACGTCATGATATACTCAGACGAGCAACACGCCATGTTCACACAACAGTTGAAAAATGCATTGATGTTAACGGTGGAATATTTGAAAATTTATTATAATTTGTAAAAAATGTATCACTTGAACAATAAATATTAGAAATAGTACGTAGTATTTCTTTCTTGTCAGTAATTTTGCAACTGTACATTCAAGTCGCTCTATCTCGGAAACCGTGGGGAATAGGACATATATTCATATGAACATTTTTGCTTAAAATGACCGATACGATCACCTCCCAGAATATTGACCTTCCCTTCTGGAACATCCTGTATAGTAATACAGGGTGTTCCAAATCAGGTCAATGAAACTTCATCTTATAGAAAATTGAATTTGGAACAAAAAAGTTTTTCTATAAACATAGGTCTGGAAACGCTTCGTTAAAAAGTTATAACTAATAAACTCTCTATATAAGTAATTAGTTATGATCAAAATTCAATAAGAATATTTTTATGTTTGCATTTGCAATGTTTGCATTACGAATGTAGTGTTTACATAAAAACTATCGAAAGGTGGTCTTTTCAAGTTTCTGTTTTTTTCGTTGTTTTGAGCTTATTTTCTTTAACGCCTAATCAGAATTAAATGAAATTAGTGTAATTTAGTTTATTTAATTACCCATCAGATTTATTTCGTTACTTTTTTCAAACGAATGAAGGATTTTGAAGTTATTTTTTAAAAATCATCAAAAAACATGATTTTTCAAAGTTTATTAGCTATAACTTTTTAACAAAGCGTTTCCGGACCTATGTTTATCCGAACTTTTTTGTTCCAAATTCAATTTCCTATAAGGTCCTGAAGTTTCATTGACTTGGAACACCCAGTATATTCAATAAACAATCCTGCAAATCTGTTCCTTTGAGCGGCAGCAACTTCCTTCTCTCTTCCTCCAAATTCGATATATTAATTTTTTTTTTCAAATATATTTAATGTTATTAAATCTCTTTTATTCGGAACGATCAATTTTTAAATTGCCGCCATCTTTGACGCAGGCGTGCCGACTCCTGAAACCGGGCGCGAATCCCGCGGATGAAAAAAATAAAAACAGTTGTGTAAAAAAAACGCAGTACTCGTTACCCGTTTACACGAATGAATAAAAGTTCTTGCAAACGAAAATCTGTTTTTCGAAAAATCGATCGCACACGGTATATCGAACCGGTCGCGCGAGAAGAAGAAGAGGTTAACGCACGAACGTCGACAAGATGAAAATCCGAACGACACGAAGGTCATTGGGTCAAGACCGGCGAGCAACGTTATCGGCCGGCTAACTCTACGCCGGAGTTAACTGAACGCAATCGCGCGATAGGTTAATCTTTAACAGTAAGTGAGACTTACCTCCCATGACTGATGTTTACTAGTGAGAGAATTCGGGCGTTCGCTTTACGTCTTTTTGGATCGAGATCGGAAGGAATCGAAGGATCCGTACACACCCACCACCTGCCGGCACTGACCGATGAAACAGGAACGATCGTCTGCACTCTGTCAGCGCCACAACGCGAGTGACGATGAGACGATGAGACGATGTGACGATCTAATGATCTGAGATCTGACCGTGGCGCGACACTGCTGCCGCGCGAGATATACCCCCTCTACTGGTTCTCCCCATTTAACTCTTTACCTTCCGCGGCAAATTTAAATACCGACCGTCTGTTTTATGTCACACCGATAAGATATTTCATTAAAGATGATCGATGGTCACTTGACATCGATGAGATATCATTAAAGACCAATGGTCTCATGGGATTTAGCGTGACTGGAAGAAAAACTCGCTGCGCGTTATTTTAGTTCAACCAGCTATTATTTTATTATCGAAAATGTATAGATTTTTTATGTAACTGCCTCAAGAACAATAAAATAAACATTGTATTAAATTTTATATTGGTTTTATTGCGACATTGCAAAAATTTACTTACCTGCAGTAGCGCATGGCGAATTTTTCTTCCAGTCATCCCGCTAAATCCAAATAATCGATATATTCCAATCGGTCATAAGACTATCGGTCTTTAATAATATTTCGTTGGTGTTTTCGATAATAAAACAATAATTATGTATAAACTAAAATAAAATTAAATTGTGTAAATTAAATAATTCGTAATAATTATATCTTTGATGCAGTCAAAACAGTCGGTAATGTCAATATCCTTTAATTACCTCCAGGCCTACCGGGCCTATTTGACGTGGTCACAAAAGTTTACAGGGCCACCGACGAGATATTATTAAAGACCGTCAGCCACCGGAAATAAGTTGGCGCTGGAAGTTCATATTTTTTAATAATTTATAGCTCAAACGATTGCTCCTTAATTGCTTCGCATTGCTCCATCATTATTTTCATGATTTATTGCATTTTTCATCGAAAATTAACAAATTAATAATTTCCCTAGCGACACCGTTGTCACCTATCGGCCGCCTATCGGAACTATATAGCTCAGAAGCCAACGGCGAGAATTTTCAAACATAATATAACATAAAACGATTGCTCCTTAATTGCTTCGCATTGCTCCATCATTATTTTCATGATTTATTGCATTTTTCATCGAAAATTAACAAATTAATAATTTCCCTAGCGACACCGTTGTCACCTATCGGCCGCCTATCGGAACTATATAGCTCAGAAGCCAACGGCGAGAATTTTCAAACATAATATAACATAAAACGATTGCTCCTTAATTGCTTCGCATTGCTCCATCATTATTTTCATGATTTATTGCATTTTTCATCGAAAATTAACAAATTAATAATTTCCCTAGCGACACCGTTGTCACCTATCGGCCGCCTATCGGAACTATATAGCTCAGAAGCCAACGGCGAGAATTTTCAAACATAATATAACATAAAACGATTGCTCCTTAATTGCTTCGCATTGCTCCATCATTATTTTCATGATTTATTGCATTTTTCATCGAAAATTAACAAATTAATAATTTCCCTAGCGACACCGTTGTCACCTATCGGCCGCCTATCGGAACTATATAGCTCAGAAGCCAACGGCGAGAATTTTCAAACATAATATAACATAAAACGATTGCTCCTTAATTGCTTCGCATTGCTCCATCATTATTTTCATGATTTATTGCATTTTTCATCGAAAATTAACAAATTAATAATTTCCCTAGCGACACCGTTGTCACCTATCGGCCGCCTATCGGAACTATATAGCTCAGAAGCCAACGGCGAGAATTTTCAAACATAATATAACATAAAACGATTGCTCCTTAATTGCTTCGCATTGCTCCATCATTATTTTCATGATTTATTGCATTTTTCATCGAAAATTAACAAATTAATAATTTCCCTAGCGACACCGTTGTCACCTATCGGCCGCCTATCGGAACTATATAGCTCAGAAGCCAACGGCGAGAATTTTCAAACATAATATAACATAAAACGATTGCTCCTTAATTGCTTCGCATTGCTCCATCATTATTTTCATGATTTATTGCATTTTTCATCGAAAATTAACAAATTAATAATTTCCCTAGCGACACCGTTGTCACCTATCGGCCGCCTATCGGAACTATATAGCTCAGAAGCCAACGGCGAGAATTTTCAAACATAATATAACATAAAACGATTGCTCCTTAATTGCTTCGCATTGCTCCATCATTATTTTCATGATTTATTGCATTTTTCATCGAAAATTAACAAATTAATAATTTCCCTAGCGACACCGTTGTCACCTATCGGCCGCCTATCGGAACTATATAGCTCAGAAGCCAACGGCGAGAATTTTCAAACATAATATAACATAAAACGATTGCTCCTTAATTGCTTCGCATTGCTCCATCATTATTTTCATGATTTATTGCATTTTTCATCGAAAATTAACAAATTAATAATTTCCCTAGCGACACCGTTGTCACCTATCGGCCGCCTATCGGAACTATATAGCTCAGAAGCCAACGGCGAGAATTTTCAAACATAATATAACATAAAACGATTGCTCCTTAATTGCTTCGCATTGCTCCATCATTATTTTCATGATTTATTGCATTTTTCATCGAAAATTAACAAATTAATAATTTCCCTAGCGACACCGTTGTCACCTATCGGCCGCCTATCGGAACTATATAGCTCAGAAGCCAACGGCGAGAATTTTCAAACATAATATAACATAAAACGATTGCTCCTTAATTGCTTCGCATTGCTCCATCATTATTTTCATGATTTATTGCATTTTTCATCGAAAATTAACAAATTAATAATTTCCCTAGCGACACCGTTGTCACCTATCGGCCGCCTATCGGAACTATATAGCTCAGAAGCCAACGGCGAGAATTTTCAAACATAATATAACATAAAACGATTGCTCCTTAATTGCTTCGCATTGCTCCATCATTATTTTCATGATTTATTGCATTTTTCATCGAAAATTAACAAATTAATAATTTCCCTAGCGACACCGTTGTCACCTATCGGCCGCCTATCGGAACTATATAGCTCAGAAGCCAACGGCGAGAATTTTCAAACATAATATAACATAAAACGATTGCTCCTTAATTGCTTCGCATTGCTCCATCATTATTTTCATGATTTATTGCATTTTTCATCGAAAATTAACAAATTAATAATTTCCCTAGCGACACCGTTGTCACCTATCGGCCGCCTATCGGAACTATATAGCTCAGAAGCCAACGGCGAGAATTTTCAAACATAATATAACATAAAACGATTGCTCCTTAATTGCTTCGCATTGCTCCATCATTATTTTCATGATTTATTGCATTTTTCATCGAAAATTAACAAATTAATAATTTCCCTAGCGACACCGTTGTCACCTATCGGCCGCCTATCGGAACTATATAGCTCAGAAGCCAACGGCGAGAATTTTCAAACATAATATAACATAAAACGATTGCTCCTTAATTGCTTCGCATTGCTCCATCATTATTTTCATGATTTATTGCATTTTTCATCGAAAATTAACAAATTAATAATTTCCCTAGCGACACCGTTGTCACCTATCGGCCGCCTATCGGAACTATATAGCTCAGAAGCCAACGGCGAGAATTTTCAAACATAATATAACATAAAACGATTGCTCCTTAATTGCTTCGCATTGCTCCATCATTATTTTCATGATTTATTGCATTTTTCATCGAAAATTAACAAATTAATAATTTCCCTAGCGACACCGTTGTCACCTATCGGCCGCCTATCGGAACTATATAGCTCAGAAGCCAACGGCGAGAATTTTCAAACATAATATAACATAAAACGATTGCTCCTTAATTGCTTCGCATTGCTCCATCATTATTTTCATGATTTATTGCATTTTTCATCGAAAATTAACAAATTAATAATTTCCCTAGCGACACCGTTGTCACCTATCGGCCGCCTATCGGAACTATATAGCTCAGAAGCCAACGGCGAGAATTTTCAAACATAATATAACATAAAACGATTGCTCCTTAATTGCTTCGCATTGCTCCATCATTATTTTCATGATTTATTGCATTTTTCATCGAAAATTAACAAATTAATAATTTCCCTAGCGACACCGTTGTCACCTATCGGCCGCCTATCGGAACTATATAGCTCAGAAGCCAACGGCGAGAATTTTCAAACATAATATAACATAAAACGATTGCTCCTTAATTGCTTCGCATTGCTCCATCATTATTTTCATGATTTATTGCATTTTTCATCGAAAATTAACAAATTAATAATTTCCCTAGCGACACCGTTGTCACCTATCGGCCGCCTATCGGAACTATATAGCTCAGAAGCCAACGGCGAGAATTTTCAAACATAATATAACATAAAACGATTGCTCCTTAATTGCTTCGCATTGCTCCATCATTATTTTCATGATTTATTGCATTTTTCATCGAAAATTAACAAATTAATAATTTCCCTAGCGACACCGTTGTCACCTATCGGCCGCCTATCGGAACTATATAGCTCAGAAGCCAACGGCGAGAATTTTCAAACATAATATAACATAAAACGATTGCTCCTTAATTGCTTCGCATTGCTCCATCATTATTTTCATGATTTATTGCATTTTTCATCGAAAATTAACAAATTAATAATTTCCCTAGCGACACCGTTGTCACCTATCGGCCGCCTATCGGAACTATATAGCTCAGAAGCCAACGGCGAGAATTTTCAAACATAATATAACATAAAACGATTGCTCCTTAATTGCTTCGCATTGCTCCATCATTATTTTCATGATTTATTGCATTTTTCATCGAAAATTAACAAATTAATAATTTCCCTAGCGACACCGTTGTCACCTATCGGCCGCCTATCGGAACTATATAGCTCAGAAGCCAACGGCGAGAATTTTCAAACATAATATAACATAAAACGATTGCTCCTTAATTGCTTCGCATTGCTCCATCATTATTTTCATGATTTATTGCATTTTTCATCGAAAATTAACAAATTAATAATTTCCCTAGCGACACCGTTGTCACCTATCGGCCGCCTATCGGAACTATATAGCTCAGAAGCCAACGGCGAGAATTTTCAAACATAATATAACATAAAACGATTGCTCCTTAATTGCTTCGCATTGCTCCATCATTATTTTCATGATTTATTGCATTTTTCATCGAAAATTAACAAATTAATAATTTCCCTAGCGACACCGTTGTCACCTATCGGCCGCCTATCGGAACTATATAGCTCAGAAGCCAACGGCGAGAATTTTCAAACATAATATAACATAAAACGATTGCTCCTTAATTGCTTCGCATTGCTCCATCATTATTTTCATGATTTATTGCATTTTTCATCGAAAATTAACAAATTAATAATTTCCCTAGCGACACCGTTGTCACCTATCGGCCGCCTATCGGAACTATATAGCTCAGAAGCCAACGGCGAGAATTTTCAAACATAATATAACATAAAACGATTGCTCCTTAATTGCTTCGCATTGCTCCATCATTATTTTCATGATTTATTGCATTTTTCATCGAAAATTAACAAATTAATAATTTCCCTAGCGACACCGTTGTCACCTATCGGCCGCCTATCGGAACTATATAGCTCAGAAGCCAACGGCGAGAATTTTCAAACATAATATAACATAAAACGATTGCTCCTTAATTGCTTCGCATTGCTCCATCATTATTTTCATGATTTATTGCATTTTTCATCGAAAATTAACAAATTAATAATTTCCCTAGCGACACCGTTGTCACCTATCGGCCGCCTATCGGAACTATATAGCTCAGAAGCCAACGGCGAGAATTTTCAAACATAATATAACATAAAACGATTGCTCCTTAATTGCTTCGCATTGCTCCATCATTATTTTCATGATTTATTGCATTTTTCATCGAAAATTAACAAATTAATAATTTCCCTAGCGACACCGTTGTCACCTATCGGCCGCCTATCGGAACTATATAGCTCAGAAGCCAACGGCGAGAATTTTCAAACATAATATAACATAAAACGATTGCTCCTTAATTGCTTCGCATTGCTCCATCATTATTTTCATGATTTATTGCATTTTTCATCGAAAATTAACAAATTAATAATTTCCCTAGCGACACCGTTGTCACCTATCGGCCGCCTATCGGAACTATATAGCTCAGAAGCCAACGGCGAGAATTTTCAAACATAATATAACATAAAACGATTGCTCCTTAATTGCTTCGCATTGCTCCATCATTATTTTCATGATTTATTGCATTTTTCATCGAAAATTAACAAATTAATAATTTCCCTAGCGACACCGTTGTCACCTATCGGCCGCCTATCGGAACTATATAGCTCAGAAGCCAACGGCGAGAATTTTCAAACATAATATAACATAAAACGATTGCTCCTTAATTGCTTCGCATTGCTCCATCATTATTTTCATGATTTATTGCATTTTTCATCGAAAATTAACAAATTAATAATTTCCCTAGCGACACCGTTGTCACCTATCGGCCGCCTATCGGAACTATATAGCTCAGAAGCCAACGGCGAGAATTTTCAAACATAATATAACATAAAACGATTGCTCCTTAATTGCTTCGCATTGCTCCATCATTATTTTCATGATTTATTGCATTTTTCATCGAAAATTAACAAATTAATAATTTCCCTAGCGACACCGTTGTCACCTATCGGCCGCCTATCGGAACTATATAGCTCAGAAGCCAACGGCGAGAATTTTCAAACATAATATAACATAAAACGATTGCTCCTTAATTGCTTCGCATTGCTCCATCATTATTTTCATGATTTATTGCATTTTTCATCGAAAATTAACAAATTAATAATTTCCCTAGCGACACCGTTGTCACCTATCGGCCGCCTATCGGAACTATATAGCTCAGAAGCCAACGGCGAGAATTTTCAAACATAATATAACATAAAACGATTGCTCCTTAATTGCTTCGCATTGCTCCATCATTATTTTCATGATTTATTGCATTTTTCATCGAAAATTAACAAATTAATAATTTCCCTAGCGACACCGTTGTCACCTATCGGCCGCCTATCGGAACTATATAGCTCAGAAGCCAACGGCGAGAATTTTCAAACATAATATAACATAAAACGATTGCTCCTTAATTGCTTCGCATTGCTCCATCATTATTTTCATGATTTATTGCATTTTTCATCGAAAATTAACAAATTAATAATTTCCCTAGCGACACCGTTGTCACCTATCGGCCGCCTATCGGAACTATATAGCTCAGAAGCCAACGGCGAGAATTTTCAAACATAATATAACATAAAACGATTGCTCCTTAATTGCTTCGCATTGCTCCATCATTATTTTCATGATTTATTGCATTTTTCATCGAAAATTAACAAATTAATAATTTCCCTAGCGACACCGTTGTCACCTATCGGCCGCCTATCGGAACTATATAGCTCAGAAGCCAACGGCGAGAATTTTCAAACATAATATAACATAAAACGATTGCTCCTTAATTGCTTCGCATTGCTCCATCATTATTTTCATGATTTATTGCATTTTTCATCGAAAATTAACAAATTAATAATTTCCCTAGCGACACCGTTGTCACCTATCGGCCGCCTATCGGAACTATATAGCTCAGAAGCCAACGGCGAGAATTTTCAAACATAATATAACATAAAACGATTGCTCCTTAATTGCTTCGCATTGCTCCATCATTATTTTCATGATTTATTGCATTTTTCATCGAAAATTAACAAATTAATAATTTCCCTAGCGACACCGTTGTCACCTATCGGCCGCCTATCGGAACTATATAGCTCAGAAGCCAACGGCGAGAATTTTCAAACATAATATAACATAAAACGATTGCTCCTTAATTGCTTCGCATTGCTCCATCATTATTTTCATGATTTATTGCATTTTTCATCGAAAATTAACAAATTAATAATTTCCCTAGCGACACCGTTGTCACCTATCGGCCGCCTATCGGAACTATATAGCTCAGAAGCCAACGGCGAGAATTTTCAAACATAATATAACATAAAACGATTGCTCCTTAATTGCTTCGCATTGCTCCATCATTATTTTCATGATTTATTGCATTTTTCATCGAAAATTAACAAATTAATAATTTCCCTAGCGACACCGTTGTCACCTATCGGCCGCCTATCGGAACTATATATCTCGCCGTTGGCTGCTGAGCCATATAGTTCTGATAGGCGGCCGATAGGTGATGACGGCGTTACTAGGAAAATGATTAATTTGTTAATTTTCGATAAAAAATGCAATAAATCATGAAAATAATGATGGAGCAATGCGAAGCAATTAAGGAGCAATCGTTTGATGTTATATTATGTTTGAATATTCTCGCTGTTAGCTTCTGAGCCATATAGTTTCGATAGGCGGCCGATAGGTGACAACGGCGTCGCTAGGGAAATTATTAATTGTGGGTGACTGAATTCGTTATCAATTTTTGATTCTGACCATGCAGTCGTAATCCTAATCGTGTTTTTACGTTATTTCGCGCAATTTTGAAGCAAAATGGATCTTCAGACAAATAAAAAAATAACATGGTCCTTGCTGGAACTCACCGGACTCTTGGAAGAAGAGGATGCTTATGTATACTTCGAGAGGACCACCAAGCATCTCGCATTACATCCGTACCATTTGATTAACATTCAGCGGGGTCTGAATCAAATATTAAAATCGTCATTGAATAGTTACGACAAAGAGTACGTAATATTACACACATGTTTTATATATATTATGTATTTTATAAAAGAAAGCAATATATTACCTATCTTTCATATTTGACGTGTTTTTTTATCATTCATTCATAAACATTAAATTCAGATTCAATGTTTAAAAAAGTGAAAAATAGAGAGAAAAGAATTCGAGACTATATAATTAATATAATTATTCTTGTTACTACTTTGTTATTATTATTTTATTAATTTATTTCTTGTATGTTGCATCATAAATAATAGATTTGTTTGTGTTGCTTGAAAGTTCCAAAAATTTTTGCATTTAAAATAAGATAAATATATATTTGGATGTTGAAGAGAGTAAAAGCGAAGATGCTGAGTGCAAAAAGTTCAAGCAATGCGAACAAACCTAATTACATACTTAAATCAATTATAAATATAAAATGTTATCTTTCTAAAGCTGGTATTCATGTCCGTTCTTATATTTAAGATCATCTCAAGTACGGTCTTAAGATACTATGGAGCCATTTTATTGATTGAATGGGATCTTAAGACGACCTAAGACCATACTTAAGACAATCTTGGATATACGAACGGACTATGAATACCGGCCTACGAGTATATTTTAAGATTTGTCTAACAAATAACAAATATTTTAAAATTTACAATAAAATTTAATTAAACAATTTTGTATTTTTTTTAGATTGAATGGATTTTTGCTAGCTTTTAAAAATCCAAAATTGCTTAGTAATTTTGGGGAGCTACTCTATGACTCTCCCTTTATCCATGTTGATATAGAAGCAGACTTTTATTTGTTTCGTCCAATGGTTGGATCTTTTCTAAAAGGTAAATTATACTTTTGTTAATTATCATATATTTAAGAATAAATTATAAAGAGATTTAAAATTATTTTTGATTTATAGGTATAGTGAACAAGAAAGGCTTAGATCATATTGTGGTCCTAGTGCATAAAATATATACTATATCTATTCCGAAACCGGATAATAAGGAGGAGTGGTTAGGAGATTCGGTAGAGATTGGTCAAGAAATAAGATGCTGTATAAATCAAATAGACAACAAGAGTAAACCACCTTTTATTTGTGCCACTATAAATTCTGATTATTTGCAAGGCTGCAGATTATCAGAGAGTATAAATAATGTCTATAATATACAAAATGTGAAAATTGAAAATCACAACTTCGACAGTATTATTAAGCTTGAAAAAACATACAATGAAATATCAGAAGATACTATTTATGTCAAAGAGAAAAAACATCGAAAAAAACATAGTATTATTAAGCTTGAAAAAACATACAATGAAATATCAGAAGATACTATTTATGTCGAAGAGAAAAAACATCGAAAAAAACATAAACATACTTATGAGATTGATACTTTTAAAAATGTAAAGAAAGAAATAAAATATGAAGACGAAAAATGAAAATAATAATATGGATAGTTCTATTTTGTATCCCAAGAGAAAAAATTAATATTACCTATAAACTTAAAATAATATTACCAAACTAATATTAAAATATAACTAATAAGTTGTATACTATCTGTTTTTAGTTCTACAGATATTTTTGCCAGATGTGTATCGGTGATATTTATTAACCATTTTTTAATTTTTTTCCATATATTCTTGCTTTTCTTATTCAGAACCTCCAGCCTATCCGTGTCCAGATGGTTAACACATTTAGATCCGATGACGTTGTAACTTCTTTTAATTAATCCTTTATTGCATTTTGGAATTTCTAGTTTTTCATTTCTAACACTTCGCGTGGTATATACTATAATAATACTATAAGCCACTCTAGCAAAAGACTCTTAATTACATTTTTCATAGTGATGAGACAAAACATTTTTCTTGTACTAATCAATCCATTTGTTTGATATAGTTCCGTGGTCAGGAAGGTACGATTCTTGCCATAAATGTTTTTAATAATAATTTTGTGAACTACTTCTAATGGGGAAAATACATTATCTCTTACATTTCCCCAGGCCACGATACCATACTGCAAGAGTATGCCAGGCCATAGTATATTGGTATCATTTGTTCGATGTTCAGGCTGTGTCCCGATATTCATTGCCAGTACTGGAACTTATTGAGATGTTGATGTGCTGTGAGGGTTTGTAGTTCGAAACTACAGACTATGCTTTTATCTCTAGATTTATATATCTATTTATATACTTTATGTACTACAGTCGCTTTTTTAAAAATTGAGGAAAAGCAACCTGCTTCGAAAATGAGATTAACCAGACCAGTCAAAGGAGAAACTATATAGTTACTTAGACATTTAATAATTTTTGTTAGTGATCCTGTTGTGTGCCAAAAGCTTTCTTCGGCTTCAAAGTTTTTATGATCGTAGAAACTTCATCGGGATCGACCGGTCTTAAAAATGAGTTTGAAATGGGTTTTGACTTAGATTTATATTGCTTGTTTTTAAGATTTTTCGTAAGATCTTTCCCGATATTCATGAAAAGAATTTATTAAATAATTCGGCAATCTCACTTCCATTAGTTACCCTCTTTCCATTAGGCTTTTTTAATTCTTCATACGAACGAGACAAAAGGCAATCAAGAGCCAGCGCGACAATTTGTGCGCATATGTTTTATTATAATCAAATTACATATTGATATTTTAGTGGTAGACACAATCACAAAAAGCGTACGTTTCGGTCCTTTCTTTGGACCATCTTCAGCACAATTACAAAGTATATGGAATATATTATATCAAAAATGTAATAGTAATAATACTCAGTAATAATACGCAGAACAAAAATGAGTCACCCATGTTGTCAGAAGATAAATGTTGTATAATGGAATTTCAAGATAGAAAGAGGCTGTCCGATAAAATATACTAACATTAAAAAAACTGGCAACACATTCGGTCTCGAACATCCGCCGTGTAACATTTGCCTTCTATACAACATTAATGACTCACTCAAGTTCGGTATATTTGTATTGCCAGTTGTTTTTTTAATGTAGTATATATGCAGTATCTCTATTATGTTGCAATTCGTTCCTAAATGGCCATCTGGAACGTCCACTTGACATGAACGTACACTGTGACATGACGTTTTTCTCGTCCGTCACAAGGGCGGAATAGCCGGCCGCGCGGCCCTCTGTTGTCTCGGTTTAGGGAGAGAGAGCGGCCCGAGCGCGAGTTCGGACGCGATCCCGCGATTTTTGCGATTTTTCTTTTGGCGATAAAATGAACTTTAGCGTATAGTGACGGTGGATGATAGAAGAGAACGACGGGATTTCATCCGGTGATAGCGGAGGGCACCAGGAATTGATACCAGGGATGAATGGAGGCCCGATTCAGCATGTACGGAGCACGCCAGATACTGGCATACTTCTTTTTGATAATAACATAAATAATTATGATAAAAAATGTTTGCTGTCGCTTTCTGAGAAAATCGCTGCCCACAGGATCAACGAGGAGACAACTGGGGAAGGCCACTCCACATACCACTAGTATGGGAGCCTCGCCGCGGAGATACGGGATTGCGCCCGACATATGAGTCCGACACTCGAACCCGGATACGATCTAAGATTGATGGGAAAATCGAGAAAGGGGAACATCCGGAGTCATGGAGGGATGTAAAAGGGCCAGGCCAGTTTGTACGCTGCTGAAGATATCTCCTTCACGTCCAAAAGGAAAACAACGGGAAGTAAAGAGATCGAAAACTAAAAGATCAATAGTGAGGGCCGCAAGGACCAACAAGACCCGGAAGCGCCACAGGTGGCCTAATTGTACATTACTGTGCCGGCGTGTCTCTTGCGGCTCTTCCGCTCGTTATTGTTCGGCGGACCAGCGCGAGAGATAGAAGCCTATCGCCGAGATCCATCGTAAGAGCGGAACGATAGCTGAAGACCGGTGAGATGTCGTCCCTTTGTTAAACCACCAATTTCGGATACGGTTTGGATGAGTCGCGCCACGTAATAATCGCTGCCGTAAGTTAACGCTTCCTTTACGAATTCGTTTATCGCTATCACGTTTCCTAAGAATAAACGGCCGATGGCGAGACGATTCATCCGATCCTCTTTATCGTGCAATTACTTTATCTTCCGGGAATGCCGCCGACAGTCATAATTGTATTTTTCGAGTATTGTTTCGTATTTTGTTTTGTATCACTACCGTTTTGTACATCGTTATTATTTTGCGGCGAGCTCATATACCGCGTCTCGAATATATATCGTGCGTTGTGAAAATCTCGCGTGCTGCGTATGTCATATTTTCGGTATATTTTATGTAATCGGTATTTTGCAGATTATTTGGAAAATTTATCGATGTTGTACAGTTATTATATTGCGTGGAATGTGGAATTGTAGTATCCTCAGATAAATGCGTCACGTTAGTCGCGTAATTACGATTCTCTCCCTTTTGCGCAGCGTCGCCATAATAATCGTAAAATCGGAGGTTAGAAAAGAGTCAGATCTGAACAACTATATTGATGTCATATCCCGCAACTACGAACTACTGTCGCGAGTTGAACGGCTGCTATACAAGCGCTTTTGTATTCCTTCTTGAACAACATCTTTATAATTTTACATGGGCGAGCGCAGTTATATATATGAAAATCCAAAGGATTTTCCGTCGCTAATAAGGCCCGAACGCGCTCCGCGCATCTGGAAATTCGCGGCCACCATATAATCAATCTTTATTCGCGCGTGCCGTGAAACACGATACTCTTGCTCGGCCACGTTAACATGTTAAGGCCGACGAACAGGCTGATATCTCCGAAATTATATTCTATTTTCTTTTCAACTATTTACACTTGTTAATATATTATTATTTTGTTAAATCTTTGTGTCTTATGAATCTCTGCTTACTTATTTCGGTTCTCTCCCGTCCCGTTTGTACGGATCACTCCCTCTATTAATCTTGTTAACTGAGGAGCGGTCGCGGATTCTGCCGTCGCGATTATTCCTCGATCTTGCTTTATTGGTTTTTTGTGAGTTTTGTATGGCGCGAATCTCGCGTCTGGCGCCCAACCTATCGTTACCAGAATTTGCTCTTGTATGAGATCGAGCTATCGTATATCGCGCCGAAGGCCGATGGTATGCCGTGGGTCATTACCAACGACCTGCCGGAAAAAGACAATATAATTACTTAAAATATATACACAAATTGGCGCCCAATGTGGGCCCACGATAAACGGGATGCAGAGATTGAGATTGACAAGTTACTGAGATGAATTTAATGATTTGATTTGTGATTATATATGACATTGAAACTTTTGGCTTTATACTGAATATGTTATTTCTTATGTCTGCTTGTTATTGAGATTATCGATTGTTTGATTGCTTTATTGATGTTATTCCTGAGATTATTATGGATTAATGATATTCTGGTTTTTGTTATTAACGCTTATTTGAACTTCTTCCGCTTATCTGATTCTCTGTATTATTATTATCACGTTTCTTTGATCAATTTTCGAAAATATTGAACTTTTGCTAAAATTATTAGAATCCCGCTGATTTAACTTAATGATAATTAAAATTTTATCAATCAGATAATTTATTTAACTGCTGCCTGGATTATTGAAAACTTTAAGAGGTAATTTTTTATCTCACTTATTTGGAATTAATTCTTGCTACCTCTTTTCGTATTTCTTCTGAATTTATATTGAGAGTATTAAAGGATGTATTTATATATATATATTGAGTGCCGCTTATTGAATTTTCATATGTACTGTGTGTACTAATCGCTTTCTTACAGGATATTGTTTAATACTGTATTTCTTGTATTTCGCCGATCTTTTGCCTGAGATTTTCGAAAAATTTAAGTTTGCGAGGAGGATCTGTAGAATTTCGCGTGTTATATTTTGCATTTTATTGTATTTTTGAATTCGATTATTATCGAAACGGAAGATTTCGTGGATTTAGCCTGTTTTGAGATTCGGTGACCGTGATCGTGTTTACGCGTGGGTAAATGTTCAGATTAACTTACACCTCACGGATCGTTTTCATTTTTACATATATTATAGAGGGCAAGGGGAGCTCCACTATTAAAAAACTAGACACATAGGTTAGCGTTGAACCTCGCTTCGCGTGGAAAATGGGAAAATTCAAGGAGCTTCGTTTCCGGAAATATAAACAAACACTTTTTCCACGTCTGTTTTACACAAATACAACGTAAACAAATTTTATTTTTTCTTATTTTATAACAAAAAAAGTATTAAAACTATGAAACTTTAAAATTGCATATCTCTGGGACCAGAATAGAGCGCCACAAAATTCAAAGTGCGTGTTACTTAAGAATGTGCCCTCTATAATATATGGAAAAATGAAAACGATCCGTGAGGTGTAAGTTAATGTGAACATTTACCTACGCGTGTTTTTGCGTTCGATTATCGACACACGTGTTGACGCGTAAAGAAAAGTCCTATTGTTCGCTTCTCTCGCAGACTTTCCAAATAAAATTTGAATCTGAAGTGGCAA